CGCCATCTGCTTGCGACCGCTACTCTGAAGGACAGCTCAATATCCTGAAGACCAAGCGCAGCATGCTGAAGATCGCCTTGACTGCGCAAGCTCAAGAGCTCTTTGCAAGCGGCAAGCTTTTCGCAAAGGCTGATGGAGGCATCTCGGTGACTAAGCCGCTCAGATCATGCCAGAATGACGTAGCAGCAGAAAAGGGAGCAATCATGATCGAGAGCGAGTTTTTCAGCAAGTTCCTCTTCAAGGTCAATGTCAGTCTTCAGGCACAGCAGAAGACACAGCCGCAGAAGATACTTGCTGCTGGAATTGCCGAAGACGTGGCAACCTCCTTCGACATGGTGATGGTGACCAAGATGTTGCTACCCTCATGGCCACCGTCATCAATGCAGGACTTTGTTGATCTCTGGACTTATGTCAACAAGAACACGAAAAGCTATTTCAGGATCAATGACGGAGACCTGCCAAGAAGGTCATGCGGCGCTAGTCTTCTTCCCTGACGACTTCGTGTCAGCGGCAGTGGGGTACTTTCACAGTCAAAGACGCTGTGACACCCATGTCGCGAAGGTCAAGGTGTCCCAGAAGATGTTCTACAACAGCACGGTTCGCCTGCGCAGCGTGACGCAAGCCATGGCATGGATTCCTTATTATGTGGCCACTGAGAAGGAGATCTTGATGGCCTGGCTTCTTGAGAAGATCATTGAAGTAGAGGCCTTGACAATCAGCTTTTCTGTCGCGGAATCCCCCTACAGCGACTTGCGTGAGAAGTGTGCAGGCAACAAGGTTGCCAGGACCGTGTGACACGTACTTGCTATTTCTTCTTCCAGCTTGTTCTCATGTGCATCTTGCATCTTGCTAAGTTGTCTGATACCCCTGAGGAAGCGCCAGCGCGTCGAAGACCTCAGAGAGAGGGTCGGGGCCCTGCAGGAGCAGATCACTAGTGAAGATCCAGCCGAGGGTTAGGCCGCTGTCATTTTGCGGCAGGCCAGCTCCAGCATTTGGGTCATTGTCATATTCTTGAAGACCCAGCCGAGGGTTAGGCCGCTGTCATTTGCGGCAGGCCAGCTCCGGCATTTGGGTCATTGTCATATTGCTTGACAGAGGCCCCTGTTTTGGAGAGCAGTATGCGGCAACCCCAAGTGACAGTTCACTGTTCTTGTTCAACATGTTCCCTGATATCATTGAAATGAACGAATCATTCAGGTGTTGCTTCAGTCGTACGCTCACCGTGTTTGTTCGAAGCCACGGCGCATGTGTTGAGCATTGTCTTGGCGTGACACCCCTCAGCAACATCAAGGCATCATCTGTACTTCCGTCATGCAGAGTTACGATATGAGTCTTCGTGAGCTTAATGTCAATGCGCAGCTCAATGACAATGATGGCGATGTCCAGCCAAGACATGTGCAAGCACATTGTCACTGCCGTTCGGCACAGAGGGATCATGCTGCGCAGTGTTTGAAAAGGCTAGGTCAACTTTGGGAAGGGCATGCCGCATGGAGATGCTAGGGTTCATGGTTCTGACTGTTGCCGAATCCTCAGGTCTGGCACCGTCGACTTCTGCTGGTTTGCATTCGTATGACAGCATGTGTTGTCGCAATGTGAGGTCTCACACATCGAGAAGTGGAAGTATTGCACTCATTATGAGACATTGTTATTGTTAGATGCTTCAACAATCATTGTCAATCGTCACTGGCATTTGCATGGCCAGACGGGCCGCTTGTACAAAGCTCTCTCGTCTATTGAGACAGCCTGCAGAAAAGGGTGTTTCTCACTATAAGTTTTTTTTTTCGCAGCATGCCAAAGCACCAGCTAGATAATCATAGCTAAGTATCATCCTTTGGCCCTGTCCGGTTCGTTGTACCCTGACATTTTGGGCATAGTCATAGCTTAACTAAGTATTACGATTTTTGTGATTTCTGAAACCTCGTACCTTGAAGTTCGTGAATAAACATAGCTAAGTATTATATCCATTGGCCCTGTTTGGTTCGTTGTGCCCGGACATTCTGAGCATTGTTATAGCTAAGTATTGTGATTCGGCCGTTTCTGGTTTTTTGATGTTCTTTGTGCCTGAAACTCGGGAATAATCATAGCTAAGTATTATCCTTTAGCCCCGTCTGGTTCGTTGTACCCTGACATTTTGGGCATAGTCATAGCTAAGTATCATGATTTTTGTGTTTTCTGAAAACTCGAACCCTGAAATTCGTGAATCATCATAGCTAAGTATTATCCACTAGCCTTGTCTGGTTCGTTGTGCTCTGACATTTTGGGCATAGTCATGGATAAGTATTAGTATTTCGTCCCTTTTTGGTTCCTTGAGCCATGACATTTGGTCATCGTCTTAGCAAAGTACTGTGATTTGCTCATTTGGGCCTTGTTTTATCCTTTTCACACCCTGAACTTTGGGAAAAGCCATAGCCACACGGTATGATGTGGGAGTTTCTGATTCCGTATACCCTGAAGCGATTCGAGGGTGTCAATGTTATAGGTGTTCCCTTTCAAACCAACTTCTTGGTATTCTGGCGAACGATGGTCCGTACTACAGCTCATGTTGCCTAAAATCAAACCAACTTTCCTTCGCTCGGAATACAAATCCGATTCTGAA